GGGAGGAGGGAGGATGGAGGACGGAGGAAGGAGGACGAGGAGGAGGAGGGAGGAGGGAGGAGAGCGGAGGGAGGAGAGCGGAGGAAGGAGAGCGGGAGGAGGAAGGAGGAGGAAGGAGAAGGGAGGAGGGAGGAGCGAGGAGGAGGGGAGGAGGAGTTGGAGGAGGAGGAGGAGGAGGAGGAGGCGGAGGAGGAGGAGGACCTCATTCCCCTGAGGCACGTCGAGCGCGGCGGCCGGGTGGAGAGCGGCGGCCCGCGACGCCCAGGGTCCGTGGGAGAGCGGCTCGCGCGGGCGCCAGAGGCGGCCGTCTCCGAGGGCCTCGCGAGGCTGCAGGGCGGCAGGAGCATCTCCGCCCTCGTTCTCGTTTCTGCTGCTATCTCTCTCTCTCTCTCTCCCTTTCTCTTTCTCTCTCTCTCTCTCTCTCTCTCTCTCTCTTCTCTCGTTATTGCTCTCTCTCTCTCTCTCTCTCCCTCCCTCTCGCTCTAAGTCTCTCTCTCTCTCTCTCTGTTTCTCTCTCTCTCTCTCTCTCTGACTCTCTCTCTCTCTCTCTCGATCTCTTGGCTTGTATGTAAGTACACATGTGTGTACCTCTCTGTGCTCATTTGTATGTGTGTCTATACGTTCCCCAATCAGTGCTTGCACTGAAGGGGTCCTCACGAAAGTTGAAGGATTTGGCGAAAGTTTTCCATCTTTTTTGGTCGCACGCTGGGTTCCCGGATTCCCGGGTTCCCGGTTCCGGGTTCCAGGCCGATTTCGGAGGGCGGCGAGGTTCCCGGGTTCCCGGGTTCTTGGTCGATCTTCGTATCGATCGGTACCACCATCGATCTAATTACCCATTTCTCTATCGATCCCACCATCGATCTCACAATCGATCTCACGATCGATGTCACAAGCGATCTCATTAGAGATCGCATGAGCGATATCGCGATCGATCTCATTATCGACCTCATTGAATCGACTTCACTCTCGGTCTCACGGTCGTCCTTACAATCGTCCTCACTATCGATTACACTATCGATCGAATCATCGATCTCACAATCGAGATCAAGATCCATAGTATCATGTTTCAAGTCATAAATTGATTGGGGTCTTCTCAGGTGCAATATAAGTGCATATGCATGTATCTATAGATGAATTGCCCTCTCTATCTCACACTCCCGCTAAGTATGTGTATAATATAGCGTATATGTATACAAATATATGTCATAGCATATTTTAGTACATATATGTGTGTATGTGTTTAAACGTAGATCGTGCTTCTATTTCTCTTCATGTATATAGAGATACTGATGTCTCTCTCCCTGCGCACATGTAAGCACATGCACAGCTGTACCTGCCGTCCATACATGCGCATTCATATGTGTTTGGTATGTGTATGCATGTGGGCACGCGCGCATGGTCGATGCATGTGGCTACACATGTATAGCACGTATACATGTATGGATATACAAATATACACATCTGTAAATATGTACATCTATATCAGCCGTATATATATATACACATGCACATGTGTATACCGCCACGTGCGTAGTATAATCACAGTGACTTACAGTGGTGTGTATATATAGGTATATTCATATACACACATCCTTTGCTATGTATGGCGCTCGAACCATCCCGCCACCGCACCAGTGCTGTGGGCCAGAAGCATATGGGATGCCTTGTGGGGTCTCTTCGGTTGCCTCTCGGAGATCTCTCGGAGACCTCTTGAGGGGACCCGTGGGGCCTCGTGGGTGTTTCTGAGGCGTGTTGTGGGTATAGAGGATCAGATTTTGGAGAAAAGGCCCCCAAGGCCCTATTGATTTCCCCCATTCTGGGCCCCTGCCTTCTGGCAGCCTCTTGGGCCGTCTTGGGGCCTTCTTGGGCCGTCTTGGGGCTCTCTTGGAAGCCTCCTTGGCCATCTTGGAGCAATATTGGAGGCTTCTTGGGCCATCATGGGTGGTCCAAAGCTCGACAGGGCGAGAACGCTAAAATCTGCCACAAACCTAAGGGGATGCAAGTATGTTTGTGTCTTGGCGCACCCTCTTGGGGCGCCTTCGGGGCCTGCTGGGTCATGTTGAAGCCATCTTGGAGCGCTCTTGGGCCGTCTCGGGACCGTCTTGGGACAGTCTGGGGACCCTCTTGGCCAGTGTTGGCGCTTTCTGGCCTTTGGGAAAACCACGCGAGCGACCTCGAAAGTCACGCGAAACGACCCAGGAAGTATGGCAATTGGGGGCCTGGGCCCCTCTGAGAGGGCACGAGATCCAGACCCTTGATGCAGAGGACCTCTTGAGGGGCCAGAGCCCATGGCGCAGGGTAGGGGAAAAGGGGGGGTGGGGAAGGCCGAGAGCCAGCGGCGGAGGGCGGGGGGGGAAGGGGGCGAGAGGGGGGAGGGGGCCGGCGAATGGCGAGCGAGCGAAGGTTAAGCAGTGGCGGAGCGTCCTAGCTCGCCTATAGGCCTACCAAAGAGTCTAAGAACCTCTTGTGGTCTGCACGAAATTCGTTCTTAGAACATGTCTGGCTGAGACTGTCTTGTTTTACCACATCGGGCCTGTGTTCTGAGAACGCTGTTTTTCCTACCTAGGCTCTGCCTAGAAGGGTTCTTACTCTCTAGCTTAAAGGGGCCGGGCAGTGGAAAGCGCCCCGGGCGGTTCCCCCAGTCCCCGCCCCGCGGTTCCCCCAGTCCCCGCCCCCTGGGTTCACCCAGCTTAGCTTAGCTTAGCTAAGTTTAGCTTGGCGTAGCTTAGCTTAGCTTAGCTTATCTCATCTTAGCTTAGCTTAGCTTAGCTTAGCTGTGCCTAGCCTAGCTTAGCTAAGCGTAGCCTAGCTCATCTTAGCTTAGCTTAGCTGAGCTTAGCTTGGCTTAGCTTAGTTTAGCATGGCTTAGCTTAGCTTAGTTTAACTTAGCTTCGCCTAGCCTAGCTTAGCTTAGTTTAGCTTAACATACCTTAGCTTAGTTTAGTTTAGCTTAGCGCAGCGCAGCATAGCGCAGCGCAGCATAGCGCAGCGCAGCATGAGCACATCGTATCATAGCATAACATCGCCAAGCATAGCATAGCATAGCATAGCATAGCACAGCATAGCATAGCATTGCATAGCATCGCATAGCATGTCATAGCATTGCATCGCATATCATAACATAGCATTGCTTAGCATAGCGCAGCGCAGCATGGCATTGCATAGCACAGCACATCACAGCATAGCATAACATAGCATAACATATCATAACACAGTGCAACATAGCATAGCATAGCATAGCGCAGCATACAATGTCATATCATAGCATAGCATAGCATAGCATATCCCAGCATAACATAGCATAGCATAGCATAGCGCAGGATAGCATAGCATAGCATAACACTACTACTACCGCTACTGCTACAACTGCGACGATGAGGAGAAGGAGGAGGACGGCGTTTACCGTTACTACTAATATTGCTCTCCTGGGGGCTCCAACTCCTAGGTAGGGTCGCTCTGGGATAATTTCTTAGACTATTTTGGGGGTTCTAGGAACATGTCATGGTAGGCCTATAGGATCGGGCCGAACGAAAGGGGGCGATTGGGAAAGGGGGGGTACGAAATCTGCTGCATGCAGCTGGTTTCGGCCCCGCCGCCAGGCCCATTCCTCGATACATGGGCGCCTCCCGGCGCTGGGAGGCGCTGGGAAAATCAGCTACGCGAGCCGATTCTCAACCCCCCCTCTGCTATCCCCCCCCTTTCGCCCGGCCAGATAGGAATGCCGGGACGGTCGGTCCCTGCTCTCAAGGGTATAGAAAAACGCCCCTACCCTGGTTTGCGAGGCGCTGTGCGCTGAAACTCCTGTGGGCTGACAGGGTAAACCCTACGTGATGTGCCGCGTCCTGGCGGCTCTGGGCTTTGGGGGTTCCCAGGAGGTTTACAGACCACGCACGTGTAACCCAGGGTAGGGTCGTTTTTTAAGCCCTCAAAGCTCAAGAGGGGGGGGGGGCGGGCGGGGCGCTCCAAACGGCGGCTCCCAGCCGGCTGTCCGTTCTCTGCGTGGCGGGCGCCCCAGCGGCGAGAGAGAGAGAGAGCCGCGGCGCGGGCCCGGAGCGCGCGGCCGAGGACCCAGCAGCGGCCCACGGCGGCCGTCCCACCCGCTCTCGATCGATCGAGGGTCGGTCGATCGAGGATCGAGGCCCGGAGCCCCTCGCGCGGTGAACACAAAGGATTTTAATGTTAAAAACAAAATAAAAATAATATAAAAATAAAAGGCGGGAGGTTCTGGGCCACTCTCGGCCCCCTGGGGAAGGCCCCCTCGCCGGGCCCTGGGACCAACACAGCATTCCGGCCTCGCTTATGATTAGGAAGCCTCCCCCCGAAAAGCTGGCCCAGCGTTTCTTCACCAACTTGCCGGAAAGAAAGCTGGCTCAGTTTCTGAATGGGATCGGTAGCTTTGGATCCTAGAAATGAATAGTGCACGTTCAATGGAGGATCGGCGGAGGAAGGGGTCTCCTCAGCATCCGGACTCTTCTCGGCATCCGGAGGAAGGGGTCTCCATCGAGGATCGCCGATCCATCGAGGATCGCGGATATCCGGACTCTTCTCAGCATCCGGGGCTCGTCTCTCAAGCAGTGGCGAAGCGTCCTGGCTCGCCTATAGCCATACCAAACAATATTCTAAGAACCTTTTGTGGTTTGCACGAAATGGTCTTAGAACATGTCTGGCGAAGTCTGTCTTGTTTTATCACATCGGGCCCATGTTCTAAGAACATTGCTTCTTGGGTTCTAAGAACATTTCGTGGTTGGACTATAGGAATGCCGGGACGGTCGGTCCCTGCTCAAGTCTCGTGGCCCCCCTCGGAGGCATCCGGAGGCCGTCGGGCTCCGTCCCTTGCCTCACCCGCCTCCCCGCTCGCCTCCCTCCCGCCGCCCTCCCCCACACAGCCGAGACGCTGAGAGAAGGAACGGGTCGGGCTCGCAGGGGGCTCGTCGTTCCGCGCTCTGGGGGCTCAAAGGGGGGCTTCGTTCCTCGTCTCGCGTCCCCTGTGGGAGCGCGATGACTGCACCCCGTGAGCTGAAGCGTTGGTGGGTTCTCTCCTGGGGAGCGCTCGCGCTTGGCCGACCTCGTCCCTCGGCTAATCACGTGCCGGGCGGGTGGCTGGAGGGTCTGGGCCAGCGCCCCTCTGAGAGAGCGAGCGCCATTGTGAAAGGATGCAGGGGCCAGTGTACGTGGGCGCCGGACTACACGTCTGGCCACCCCATTGAGATTGAGATCTTACCGTCAGCGTTTCGCGGGACTGCGTCGATTTCGACCAGATCGAGGTCTGGAGGTCGATTTGGAAGGCCTTCCGGCCTGTGCCGCCGACCCTGAAAGCAGGACCCCCCGCTGGGACCCCCGCTGGCGCCCCCCCCCAACGGGCCCGCCTGGACCCCGGAGGGTGCGGTTTTCTGGCCCGGGACCACCCTCCCCCACTGCAAGCGGGACCTCCCGCGGAACACCCCTCCAGGACCCGAGTCCCGCAGGAGAGACCCCCCGCTGTCCTCTCTGTCCACAGGGGGGGGGGCCGGGGAGGGGAGGGGGGGCCGCAGGGACCCTTGGGGGGGGTGCAGTAATTTGACTTGGGATCCTCCCCCCGTATCCCCCCCCTTACCGCCCCCCCCTCGTACCCCCCTCCCCCATACCCCTCCCTATCAGGGAGAGGGAAGGAGGAGGGAATCGGCTTAACTACGATGTTTCTTTTCTCTGTTCGTTTTAAGTCCCCTTGGGACTGGACACGACGACGACGACGACGACGACGACGACGACGACGATGAGAGCGTCTCACACGCCGAAGGGTCGGCGGATTTGTCGGAGCGAGCGAGAAGGAGGAGAAGGAGGGGGAGACGCAGAAGGGAGGATGGAGGAAAGGGAGGAGGAAGTCGAGGAAACGCGAGCACGGATCCAGGCGCGCGGGTCAGCGACGGGCCCCACCTCCGTACACTGCGTCGACGTTCTCCGTCGCCAGATCGGGTCAGCGACTGGCTGCGCGTTTCGGGGGGTACCCCCCGCGGTCCCATGGATCCGGCGCCCACGCGCCAGATCCACGAATCCCCAATCCACGTTAGCGCGCGTGCCCAAAAGAAGAGGGGGGGTAGAAGAGAAGGAAGGGCTGTCGATGCAGTATGGTGCCTCGTCGGAAGCCGCAGCGCTGCGCGGGGGGGCTCCCCAGGGGAGCCGCCAAGGGACGCAGGCTGCGCTCGAACAGCTGTCGGCAGCGCTTCTGCGCCGCCCTGCCCTGCGGATGTGCCTTGACCCGTTCCCGGGTGTCGCCCTCCCGAAGGGGAGGGACGAAAGAGAGAGAGAAGGGGAGGAGGTACACAACACAAGCTACGGTGGGGACGCGCACCAAGAAGAAGCCGTAGGGCTGTCGTCAGGGTGCCCCGGGTTTCCTCGCTTCCGGCGGTGCGTGGTGACTGCTGCTGCTCGTTGAGAAACTGCTGCGCTCGGGGTTCCCTGGGCTGCTTCTCCAATCGCACCTCGCGCATTTCCGTATCACACCCTGGGAAGGAATTTCTCGGGCCAGAATACATTGGGATTCTTCGATGTTCAGGGCTTGGTTTCTTGCGCGGGGGGGGTTCTTGCGGCCGCGTCCACTCTGTAGGCGCGTTCGCGCCACATCTAGCATCCTGCCCCTCCCGCCCATGCCATCTCATTGTGTCGAATCCTCTTCTATCCGCCGAGTGGGGTGTCCTGGAAGACCTTGGTCCCCCAGATGGTAGTCTCAGGACTTCACCCATCGTTGGCTGTGCAATCAACTAGGGGGCCTCTTTTACATAACAGTTGGCACGCGAGGAGCAGCAGCAGCAGCAGCAGAAGCAGGGGGCAAAGGAGTTGAAAGGAGGTGGACACAAACGACGAGGCATGCACCGGATACAGAAATGTGGCAACCGGACATTTGAAATCGGTACCCATACAGAAATGGAGCCAACGTTGCAGCACCAGCACCATCTGGAAGGGCCAGAGGCATTCCGATCGAGAAGCACATTGGAAACATCGAATCATGAAATACGGTCCGTGATCTGATACTTCGCGGTAGGGACGGCACCATCGAGGGACATTGCCAGAGAGGAGAGTAGTATCTGTCATAGGGACTCGTTGAGAGAGGATTGAGGTGGTGGAGGAGGGAGGGGTAGGGGGTGGAGGAAGGAGAAGGGAGAATGTAGTAAGAGGAGGAGGAGGAGGAGGAGGAGGAGGAGGAGGAGGAGGAGGAGGTGGAGGAGCAGGGGAGGCGGGACGAGGACATGGAGGAAGCGGGGGTGGCGGAGGAGGAACCGGGGGCGGCATGAAAAGGAGCAAGGGGAGGAGGAGGAGGAGGAGGAGGAAGAGGAAGAAGAGGAGGAGGGGGGCGATGGACGGAAAGGAAGGGAGTGCTACTAGCAGGTGGGCGGCTTGGTCTTGACAGCTGTGGCCACTGTTGGCAGGCAGATCACCGGCGCCAGGCGGGTGCGCGCCCCAAGAGTCATTACCGCGGGCGTCCGCGCACGCGCCTTCCTGTACGTCATCAGAGAATGTTGCAGGGTGGGCTCAATGCGGAGGCTGGGATCAAAGAAAGCGGCAGGCAGAAGACATTGAGAGACGTAATGTTCCTCAACGTGTTTGGCTGATCTGGGGCCTCCATAAGGGTCTCTCGGAAGTTTCTTGGGGCATCGCGGGCGCATCTTAGTGTCTTCTTGGGGGGAAAGAGGAGGTTGATTATCAGCAGGAGGAGCAGGGGGATTATACCCAGAGCAACACTGGTAAACTGCATGCGCAAGCGTCAGCAGGCTGGTTACTTCCCCTCGCCAGCCATGCGTGCCACTCATCTTGTTTGTTTGTTCTGGAGCTCGCTGTCGCTAGCAGCCAGCCGTGGGAACACCTGGCCCTTTTCACAAACAATGTTGGTTTGCCACACCACAGAAGGACAATGATTTTTCCATGCTCGCTAGATTTGGGAATCGCTTCCCTGCGGCGCCCCGAGCCTGCACGCAGATGCCACCCTGTGCCGGTGTGCACGCACAGGCGTCTGGCGTGGGCGCCTCCGAGCGTAATGTACGCCCTGGCGAGGTGGGCGCCCGCCCCCAGCCCCACTGCTGCCAGTGGACGGCCCGCCGGGGCTCTCGCCCAAGGGCGGGACTCCCGTCCGCGAGGCCCCACCTTGTCTGGTCCTACCCACGGGGTCCCATCCACGGAGTCCCACACATGGGGTACCACTCGCAGGGTCCCACCGACGGGGTCCCAACCACGACGGGGTCCCATCGGCAGGGTCCGGTCCCGCCCGTAGGGCCCCATCCAGAAGGTCGAGGACCTTTCCTGTAGACTGCACCCGATCAATCGCGCCCCATTTGATGGCACCCCTGAAGCTGCATGCGAGTGCTGAGGGCGCACCTTCCGCCACGGCCTCTGTGTTATTCGGGGGCTATCTTACTTCGAACCTTATCTTATCTTCAAATCTATCCTCGTCCTCCTCCTCTTCGCCTCCTGACCCCGCTGTTGTTCGCACCGTCGTCGTTTCCAGACCTCTTTTCTGATTTCCGTCCCTCCTATCACTCCCTCTCCCACTTCCGTCTGATATCCCCCCCTCCCCTCACGGTTCCAGGAGGAGGAAGGCCGCGTTGGGCGTTGGTGGAGCAGCTGGAGCGGAACCAGGATAGGTAGAAATAGCAGCAATGGAAATAGCAGCAATACGGTTGTAGTCGAGTAAGCCAACTCATAGCAGTAGTAGTAAAGTTGGTATGTTTAGTGATCGTAGTGGAAGCCGTCGTAGTCATAGTAGTAGTGATAGTGGTAGTCGTAGTAACACTAGCAAAATTAGTAGTGGTCGTAGGTAGTAGTAGAGGTAGTGGTCGTAGGTAGAGGTAGTAGTAGTAGTAGTAGTAGTAGTAGCAGTAGCAGTAGTAGCAGTAGTAGTAGTAGTAGTAGTAGTAGTAGCCGTCGTCGTCGTAGTCGTAGTCGTAGTCGTAGTATTAGTAGTAATAGTATGTGTAGTAGTAGTAGTAGTAGTAGTAGTAGTTGTTGTTGTTGTTGTAGTAGCAGTAGTAGTAGTAGTAGTAGTAGTACTAGTAGTAGTAGTAGTAGTAGTAGTAGTAGTAGTAGTAGTAGTAGTAGTAGTAGTAGTAGTAGTAGTAGTAGTAGTAGTAGTAGTGGTGGCATGTGTAATCGTAGTAGAACTGGTGGTAGTCAGAGTAATAGTAGCAGTATTTGTAGTAACCGTAGTAGTAGTAGTAGTAGTAGTAGTAGTAGTAGTAGTAGTAGTAGTAGTAGTAGTAGTAGTAGTAGTAGTAGTAATGGTAGTAGTAGCAGTAGCAGTATCAGTAGTAGTGATAGTAGTAGTGGCAGCAGTAGTAGTAGTAGTAGTCGTAGCAGTAGTGGCGGTGGTGGTGGTAGTAGGAGTAGAGTAGTAGTAGTAGTAGTAGTAGTAGTAGTAGTAGTAGTAGTAGTAGTAGTAGTAGTAGTAGTAGTAGTAAGAGTAAGAGTAGTAACAGTAGTAGTTGCAGAAGCAATCGTAGCAGTAGGCGTTGTAGCGTGGTAGTAGTAGAAGTCGTCGTAGTTGCAGTTGTAGTAGCAGTAGCAGTAGTAGTAGTAGTTGGTGTAGCAGAAGTACAAGTAGTGGTGGTGGTGGTAGTAGTAGTAGTAGTAGTAGCGGTGGGAATACGAGTTGCACTAGTGAGTCGTACTAGTAGTTGTAGTAGTAGTAGTAGTAATCGTACTACAAGTCATAGTGGTAGTAGTAGTAGTAGTAGCATTTGTACTAGTAGTTGTTGTAGTAGGAGCAGTGCTAGAAGTATGAATAGCAGTCGTGGTTGTAGTAGTTGTTGTTGTAGTAACAGTAGTAGTGGTAGCAGTAGTAGTAGCAGTAGCAGCAGTAGCACCAGTAGTGTAGCAAAAGCAACCGTAGTAGTAGTCGTGGTAGCGGTAGTCGAAGTAGTAGTAGTTGTAGTAGTAGTAGTTGTAGCCGTAGTAGCTGTAATTGTAGTAGTTGTAGTAGTTGTCGCAGTAGCAGCAGGAGTAGCAGTATTGGTACTAGTCGTGAGAGTAGTAGTACCCATAGTAGTGTTAGTAGTAGTAGTAGTAGTAGTAGTAGTAGTAGTAGATGTAGTCGTCGTCGCAGTAGTAGTAGTAGTAGTAGTAGTGGCAGTGATAGTAGTAGAGGTAGTAGTAGCAGTAGTAGTAGTAGTAGTAGTCGTAGTAGTCGTAGCAGTCGTACTAGTCGTAAGCAGCCGTAAGTAGTAAGGAGTGGTAGTGGTGGTGGTAGCAGTAGTAGTCGCAGTAGTAATAGTGGTTGTCGTAGTCGCAAGAACGATTGTAGCGGTAGTCGTTGTAGTGGGGGACAGTAGTAGGAGTAGTAACAGTAGACGTAGTAATAGTAGTAGTCGTAGTTATAGTCGTAGTCGGAGTACTAGTAGTGCTAGTAGTAGTAGTAGTAGCAGTAGTAGTAGTAGTAGTAGTAGTAGTAGTAGTACAAGTTGTACTAGTAGTAGTATTAGTAGTAGTAATAGTAGTAGTAGTAGTAGTAGTAGTAGTAGTAGTAGTAGTAGTAGTAGTAGTAGTGGTAGTAGTAGTAGTAGTAGAAGTTGTCGGAGTAGTACTAGAAGTATAGTTTGTAGTCGCGTTGGTAGTAGTAGTAGTAGTAGTAGTAGTGGTACCAGTGGTAGCAGTAGAAGTAGTAGTCGCAAAAAAAAAAAAAAGCAGTCGTAGTAGGAGTAGTGTTAATGGTGGTCGTAGTGGTACAGTAGTGGTTGTAGTAGTAGTAGTAGTAGTAGTAGTAGTAGTAGTAGTACTAGTAGTAGTAGTATAAGAAGTGGCAGTAGTAATCGTGGCAATCTGGGTAGTAGTAGTAGTAGTAGTAGTAGTAGTAGTAGTAGTAGTAGATGTAGTAGATGTAGTCGTCGTCGCAGTAGTAGTAGTAGTCGTAGTCGTAGTCGTAGTCGTAGTTGTATTCGTAGTAGTAGTAGCAGTAGTAGAAGTAGTGGCAGTACTAGTAGTAGTGGTGGTGGTCGGAGTAGTATTAGAAGTATAAAATGTAGTCGAGGTAGTAGTGGTAGTAGCAGTAGTTGTAGTAGTAGTAGTAGTAGTAGTAGTAGTAGTAGTAGTAGTCGCAACAAGCAATCATAGTAGGAGCAGTGGTAGTGGTAGTCGTAGTGGTATAGTAGTTGTATGAGTAGTAGTAGCAGTAGTAGTAGTAGTAGTGGGAGTAGTAATCGTGGCAATTCTGGAAGTAGTAGTCGCAGTAGTTGTCGCAGTAGCAGCAGGAGTAGCAGTAGCAGTAGTAGAGGTAGTAGTACTAGTAGTAGTAGTAGTAGTAGTAGTAGTAGTAGTAGTAGTAGTAGTAGTAATAGTAGTAGTTGTCGTAGTAGCATGGAAGATGTGAAAGAAGGAGTAGAAGTATGAGTAAAATGTTGTTTCGAAGTAAGAGTAGAAGCAGTAGTCGTAGAAGCTGGCGTAGTGGCCCTAGTAGAAGTAGCGCTAATACTATCAGGTGTCGTCGAGGCACGAGTAGTACCAGTAGTACGAACACAGAACCCGACAGACAAGCAGTTGTAGCAGTGGAAGATTGATTGGTAGTGACAGCTGTAGTGATAGTTGTAGCAGCAGTAGTAATAGTAGTAGTACTAGGAGTCGTAGTGGTATACTAGTAGTAGTAGTAGTATTAGTAGTAGTAGTAGTGGTAGTAGTAGTAGTAGTAGTAGTAGTAGGTAGTGGTGGTTGTAGGAGTACTTGTAGTAGTAGTAGTAGTAGTAGTAGTAGTAGTAGTAGTAGTAGTCGTCACAGTTGTCGTAGTAGTAGGAGTGGTAGTAGTAGTGGGTAGCAGGTAGTAGCAGTGGTCGCAACAGTAGAAGGTAGCGAGCGAGCGCGCGCGCACTCACGCACGCGCACACACATACACCCACACACACACACAAACACACACACACACACACACGCGCACGCACGCACGCACGCACGCAGGCACGCATGCTTTCGCGTTGGGCACGCTCTTCGGACGGAAGAAGAGGGGGAGGAGGATGTGGATATCACCTTCTCGCACATCGCCCACTTATCCTTTCGTTCTTACCCACCTTCCACCCAGGCCTGGCAGCGCCGGTCAACTGGGGGCAGGGTGGGCAGGAGGTAATGGCATGATGCAGCGAGTAGGGACTCTTTCTGCGCATTTCTGGCCCTGCTCTACGGGGTGGGCCGCGTAACTTCTACGCGATCGCTTCACATCTCCGCATAACACGCCGTGGCCGTTCATTTCCTACAGGACAGCATACCTGTGCCAGCCTCTGCGCGCAGCCATAACATGCGTCTTTTTGTTCACTTGCCGAGAGAGTCGCCTGTGCCTCACAAAATTGCTTTTTAGCACCGCGCGCCTGGACATGCAAATCTGGGAGCGGGGGTGGAGACGGTTGGGGTTTGATGCAGGAAGGGGGGATGGGCTACAACATAACCATCTCTGCGCCAACCTTGGGCATACCAGCGC